AAAACAAAGAGAGAAGAAAAGATAAAAATAAAACAAAATGAAAACAAGTAAATAGAAACAAATAAAGGAATGATAGGAAAAGAAAAAAAAATTGAAAAAGTAGAAACAGAAAAGTTAACTAAAAGAGAAATACATTGCTTAGTGTTAAGTGAAATAAAAATATGTAATTGAAGTGAGAAGAGAAAAAAATAAAAATATACAGGTAACCTCTCCTTTATCTCCCTCCATATAAAAGAATGTGCTAAAAATTTCTTGATCTGACCGAGAAGCCCTTCTTCTCGAAATTCTGATGTTTTTTTCATTACATCAGATGTTAAGTAACCAAGAACATTTCACTACCTATTGATTTATATACCATTCAAAAACATGGATTAAAGTCGAAATTTAATTTAAATCCAAAATTTTGAATAGTGAAATGTTAAAGTTTGAAGATGTTACTTGTCACCTATTTGCATATTTTGTCAGATTCAATCCATATCTTCAACTATATATATATATATATATATATATATATATATATATATATATATATATATATATATATATATATAAAGAGTGCATATAAGACATCACTATCTATTGAGCAAATTTTTAACTATACATGTGTGTATGAATAAAATGTATGTATGTATAGAAAGTGGTAGAAAAACTGGATCCCTATTTTTTGGTTGATATTTGTCACATCACAGATTTATTTTTCAAATTATCTATACATTAAGTAGTATGCATAGAATTTGAGATGTTAGTTTAAACTGTTTTCTAGGAACTTTTAAAAAGGCCTCCATCTATTATCATACACACACAGGCTCACACGCAAATGCACACCTTCTTTTAATCACATTATATATATAATATATATATATATATATGATTTGATCAAGTTAATTGATAATCTGTATGAATAATTCCAGGGAGGCTGAGAGCTCAACATAATAAACAGAGAAAGTAATAATTAGTTAACAAATCAGAGACTTCAGAAAGCCATGGTAATATTTTATTTCGCAAGACTGATAAAATTTGATTTTGCTTTGTCAGACCTGGTGGTTTGAAGTCTCCGATTTGTTAACTAATTATATATATATATATATATATATATATATATATATATATATATATATATATATATATATATATATATTTACTTTTGTTTTCCAGTACATTGAATCATATATTGTTTCAATTCCTCCATGAATGCAAACAAAATCCATTCAAAGAAAAATTCTTTGTTTGTTATACGATCTTACAACTAAATCTGCTAAATAAGAAAGAAAATTGCTTTCCTTTCACAGGGAAACAAAAGTGAGATATCTTTGAAAATGATTTTAGTACACTGTAATATATTAACAGTTTTTATATATAATTTATCTAAACCTTATTTTATATCTGAAGACTAGAAATGACTATGTTATTAATATTATTATTCGATATCTCATATCATTATCAATACAATTCAGGTGTACCTTTTTCTTTCAGATATTATAATGACAGATACAGTTATTGAGATTCTGGTAATTTTGAAATGTTATTTTAAACTGGGCCTGAAAATCACTGAAGCCACTTGAAGAATTCGGAACATGGAAGATAATGAAACAAAAGTTGACCATACTGTCCCAAAGTGGCCTCAGCATAAACTAGAGTCTTGTTCTTAAGATCAGCCTTATCAGATCAAGAGTTTCATATGAATGCCCATTATGGCATCAAACTTGTTCAGAAATCTCTCAACTGTATGCAACCACTTTCTAAGATCTATAGTTAAAAATAGCTATGAACAAATAGAGCATGTAGGTCTTAACGAGGACCATCTGTTACGGATTGGTGCTACAAAATCATAAACAAAGTATTGTACCAGATAATAAATTGCATTACTTGAGGACTTTCAACAGCAGCAACAACTAAAATGGATAGCACATATAACTCTAAGAGAAAATAATGATATAATCAAGATGTTGACATTCCACACTACTTCAGACAAAAGGTTAGGAAACAAACCCCCATCAATTCTGAAAAGAGTGATTAAACAGCGGACTTGAGAAACCTATTTTCCTGGAAAATTGTTTTAATAAAAAGATTTTTTAAATTTCATCCCAAAGTAGCACTGGCTGCTTAGTTAATGAATGCCAAATGTTTCCGTAAAAGGACATAGATAATATCACCATTACCATTGAAAGTGTAATAATTTGTCTCTTCAAATAAAACCTAGAATTGGATAGTCATGAGTTGCTGATTATGATATTTTAAACAGGTGAAAAAGAAGCCAACCACAAGCACTGAAGGACTTTCAGAAGAGCTAGAATCATCAAAACAAAACATATCTAAAGCATTAAATAAACTTCCAAAACATACAAGAGTTCTTGAGATGCTTCCTGCAAAATCTGGAAATACTTTTGGCAGGCCCTAATAACAAGTGCAATTTAAAGAAGTTGTCACCAAGCAATCTGTCAATTACACGTTAGATGCAACTAAATCTACGAAGAGATATTCCAGCAGATGCTTTCCTTGATTTAAAAAAAAATCCTGCTCCTTATAGAAAGTGAAGAAGGGATGAAAAGATTGAAAAATAATATTAGAAATGAAGAGTGTGATGTCTCTCCGCCAGTGAATGCAAAACAATTTCACCACCAATGAAAAAAAAAAAAAAAAAAAAAAAAAAAAAACACTTGCAGCAACAAGGATGCGGTTCTACTGATGAAAGATGTGATTATTATGTACAGAGAATGTGACAAACGATGATGTTCTAAGGAGAGTAGTAACTGCAATGAAGCTACTGCTAACAATCAGAAAGAGGCAGCTGAAATTTTGGTGATACATAACGAGGAAAGAAGGCTTTGAGTATTTAACACTCGCAAAATACAGTGCTGTTCGATAAAAGTGACTCACCTGATTTTTTTTTACTAAATATTCTCTTCTCTGATGAAACAAAAGTTGAGCTAAATTCAAAGGATAAGCGATCTAAAATCCGAAGAAGAAGCTTTGAAAGCTCTTTGAATTTAGCAGTAAGTACTGTCAAGCATCCGTTTAGTATAATGTTCTGGGGATGCTTTTCTTTTCATGGAACTGGTTTCTTAAAACCTATTGAAAAGACCCTCAGGAGCGAGCAGTACAAGAGAATTTTGGAGTCTTGTCTGCTCCCTTCTGCTGAAAGGGTGCAAATCGATCCCACCAAGCTCATTTTTATGCAGGATAATGCTCTCTGTCACAAATCAAAACTGATGAATGAATACTTTAATGAGAAGCAGGTGAGTGTTATGACATGGCCGCCCCAATCTCCTGACCTCAACCCCATAGAAAACTTATGGAGCATTATAAAGTACAGGCTCTCGAGAAAGCAGTTGAGCAACAAAGAGGATTTGATTGTGAATTTCATATCCAAATAGAATTCAATGCTTGGATTTGCCAGAACCTAATCAAGTCAATGCCAAAAAGGGTTGAAAAGGTTATTCAAAATAAAGGAGGACCTATAGATTATTAAATATTTCGAACTATATTACCTATTATAAATAAATTATACCTGTATTATTCTTTATTTAAAGCTGTTCGGTTATGTTTCTATTGATTACTAGTTGCAGGAAATAAGTGAGTCACTTTTTTGCACAGTGTCTTTCCCAAAATCTCATTTATATCCAAAATTATAATTATCAATAGAGTACCTTAGCCTGAGTAAACTTTTTTTACTAAGTGGTTGGGAAGGGGTCTTTATATTAGTAAGATTAAAAATTAGTTTGACCCCAAAAACAATAGGCGAAAAAATTTTTAAGTAAAAATATAAAACAAGTGAGTCGCTTTTATCGAACAGCACTGTATATCAACACTAAGAGAAATGGAGTAATAATAATGTAATAGTAATGAGGAATGCATATGGCAAAATGAAGGATGGATCAAAAAGGAAAAAGCACTGCTGAGAGCAACAAAAGAGATAAAGCTATAGCGAGCCATGATCGAACACATCCTGAAGATACAAGGTTCACAGAGGGAGATTCAGAGATAAGAATATTTGTACAAATTAAGAAATGATAAAATTTAATTAGAATTATATTTTTTAAATGTAGCCACTCATTAACAAATACAGAATATTACAAATAATAATACAAAATACTATCCATATCACTGTGAAATATATATATATATATATATATATATATATATATGTATGTATGTATCCTTTTCCTAACTTGGAATATGTTTTTAGCAATAATAATTCAAGCAACACATAAATTGGTTATACTATCACTACTTTATCATGCTGATTAACATGTCATTTTGTTGATAATAGTTTGATTAAATCATATATCACCCAGATTATAATGAGAAAATTATTTTTTGTATATTTTATTCAGTTGACATGTAGGAGCACAAAGATTTCAAGAATTAAATTTTTTAACTGTTCTTGCAACTTTCCTCAGTACTATATTTTTGTGCTGGTGGGACAGAAAAGTACTAGGAAGAGGAAAAAAGTCAAACAGTTATGTCCTGACCCCAAAAAGAAGAGGTATTGAGCAAAATTTCATGGGAAAATTAGCTCAGAGGAGGTGTTGTAATGGAATGTTCCACATTTGCTATTGTCTATGTTGACTGACTATACCAGTAGATATATAAAGTAAGCACAGGATATACCTGGGACTTCAGGAATTACTATTTGGTGAACTGATTCCCTGTCTTTCAGTAGTGTATTCTCTTTTACAATAAACCTCTCTTTCTTTCATCTATGCCTGTGTTGTTGTTCCTTTCACTTGAGTACCACCTTTGTCTGTTTGTAGCCTTCTTTAAGGATACAACATTATATATATATATATATATATATATATATATATATATAAAATATATATTGAACAATAAAAAATATTAAAAAAAATAAAATCTTCAGACACACTGGCTTCTATATTAATATTCCTTTGTTTTTATTATTATTTCATTTAGATTCCTCAACTAGTTTTGGCCAACAGGAGAAAAATAATTTTCTGCTTGCTGGTAGCAGTAAACTACAGAAATGAATGTCTTGATGG